TATTGCAAATTGGAATAACTTCATCCTGGATATGCGACTAGCCCTTCCATGGCGAGTTATTTCCTAATTGGGGTATTCCGTGCACTTGACATTCCAGCAAGCCACCCACTCATGTGTTTCGAGTATCGCAGTCACGCTCGTGGACCCCAGCATCCTCCAGTTCATCGAAGTATACACATTCGTGAGAGGCTAACCGAATCCATTGATGTCTCATCTCATTTGGATTCTTTGACTCTTGAATTAGTTTTAGATCACGGTCTTAGAGATCAGTCAAAGGGTTATCTCATAGCCCTGTGATCTAGAGATTTCTATTCCAATGTTAGATATATATTATATTAGATAAAGGCGACCATAATAAAGTAAGTGCATTAATTAATCATAAATAAATAGTTCCTTAATAATTACAATTAATGCAGCCAAACAGTTGGATTGCAGGATACTATTTTTATCATTACGTTCTATCACTGAGTTCTATTGTGTGGTATCGACACAAGATAATTGATGTAATATACCAAGGTCAGAAAACAGTTTTGTAAATTGTAATTCCTTGGCATTGTCTGATCTAGAGGTTTTACTGGTTGTTTTGAACTAATTTTGAACCATTTTAATGAATCTAGGAATAGCATGGCTAGCTTTAGATTTATTGGAGATAAGATAGATCCATGTAAATCTAGTGTGATCATCAACTAATGTTATAAAATATGTATACCCTTTATATGAAGAAACATGGAAGGGTCCCCAAATATCATAATGAATTATGTCAAACATACATTCAGAAATGTTATTGTGAGAAATGAATGACAATCTCTTTTGTTTGGCCAATGGTCAAACAATACAAGGAAATCGATTATTAGTACTAAAGGAATAAAAATCAAGAACAGTTTTCAAAGTACTGAGTTTAAGATCAGAAAGATGGCCTAATCACCTATGCCATAAATCCATAGAAACATTATTACAAGTAGAATCAATGTCATTCTGTAGAAAATAGAACCCATTAGCAAATTCACCCCTGTCAGTCATTCTCTAACTGATCAAGTCTTGAATAAAGAAGTGGTTAGGCATAAAATTTATAGAACAAGCATTATCATGTAAAAGAGCACCCACAGAAAGAAGGTTGAATCTAAAGGTAGGGACATACAGGACATTAGATAAGGTGATATGAGGATTTATATAAACCTTTCCTATCTTAATACAGAAAAAGAAGTATTATTGGGTAAGATGACAGTGACATTGTTACAAATTTCAATAGATGTCATGAGTGAGATGTTGTGGCATATGTGATTAGAGGCTCCAAAACGAGAGTTCTTATTGAATGAAATATAAGGAGTAAAAGATGAAAAACAAGTACCTGAAGTAGATGTGACATTGAATGTATTTGTATTGTGATTATGTGGCAGTGAGCAATTGAGGAGAGAGTAATGAGGCAAGCTGAGAGCATTGATTAGGTGAAAGTTCTTGAACGAAACTTTGCAAAGGTTGTTGTTGTCAGTGGCGGAGCTAGACGGGCTTTATTGGGGGGGGGCGAATTTTTTTTGAGGAAAACATTAAATAAAGTAAATAATTAGAAAAATAATATATTCTTTTTACAATTATTAACAAAAAAAAATTTTGAAACTATACAGCAAATAAAGAATATTATATAAAGAAAAGTGCACTAAATAAATATAATTATAAGGAGAAGACCTTATATAGTATAAAGAAAATAAAAAATCTTATTCTCCTTACAATTATTAAGATTTTTTTAGGAATAATGCACTAAATAAAAAAAATATTAGAAAATACTTGTATTGTAATAACAATAAAATATCATATCCCTAATATAATCATTAAGAAGAAAGAAAAATTGAAAGAAAGGTTTAAATATTGAAAGAAAGAAAAATAAAAAATAAAATGGCTTAAGAATTGAAGAGAAAGAAAGAAAAATTAAAAAAAATGGCTTAAGAATTGAACTAAGAATAAATTGCTCCAAGCAGGAATCGAACCCATACCTCCAGCCTAAACTTGAAATTTCTTAATCATCTGGCCAACTCACTTTTTACGTTATACTTTATTACTACTAATATTTAATCCTAATATTCTTGGGGGGCGGTCGCCCCCCCAGTCTACATATAGCTCCGCCACTGGTTGTTGTGATGATGATGCAGACACAGAAGAAAGTTGATTTGATCTTAAGACCTGTTTTGGGGGTCTAGAAGCATTCGATATGTAACCAGGTAGGAAACCGTGGAGTTTGTAGCATGTCTCTCTGGTGGGACCTAGCATGTTATAGTGAGTGCAAAATGGTCTTTCTTTCCTCTTGAAGTTGGGGTTGAACATGGGTCTTGGATTGTATGAATATGGTTGGTTAAAATTTGGAAATTGTTTAAATCTTTCATGCAAATCCTTCCAAATTGCAGAAGCTGTTTGTTTGTAGAGAATGCTTTGTGTGATATCATTTGAAACAGAGTTCAAGATCCAAGATATTACTATATCATTGTTTCTATTCTAGGCAATGATAAGTTCTGGATTGGCTGCTGGTCTAGGAAGAGTTCCATTGACAAAACCTAGCTTGTTTTTGGCTGAAAGTGATATGGACACAGCCCTATACCAAGATTGATAATTGGGAAATTTATATAAACACCCCCTGCCTACAGGTCTAATTACAAGAATTTACCAACCTTATCAAAAATATCGACACCCCCTTGACTTAACGGCAGTTAGTCAACTTTAATGGAATGTGTCAAAAGTCCGAAATGGCCTTAATTATTTTCAATATTTATCCAAAATTAAAATAAAAAATCCAAAACCCCTAACTATTAGGGTTAAGAAGCGGAATTCGCAGCCCCTTAGGGCGACCACAGCAGACAAAGTTAACCCATGGAACTTCAAGCAATTGAACACAGGAATCTATTGCAACAAGAATCACTAAGTTTGGTTGATAACTGAGAGAGAAATCGGAGTTTGAAATTTCGGATCTAGGGTTCTTCGCGAACCAAACTTTGAACAACGATATCTCCCAAATAACTCGATGAAATTTGACAAGACTGGTAGCTATGAACTCGTCTTGATGAGAGAAAAAAAATCCCCAACTTGATTTTGACAAATATTCGCCATTTTACGGCGGCAGAGTTTGAAATTTTGGATTTAGGGTTCTTCCCAAATCAAATTTTGAACAACGATTTCTCCCAAATTACTCAATGAAACTTGAAATGGTTGGTGTCTATGAGCTCGTTTTGATGAGAGGAATAAAAGCCCCAACTTAATTTTGACAAATAGCCGCCGAAAAATGACTGCCAAATGAAAAGGGGTGGTGGAATAATCTTTACAAATACACCGCTGTATCATAAATTATATTACAAAGTTCACCAAGGGTTAATTTGGAAAAACATTAAAAAATTAGATGACATCAATGCCGTAAGGGGTGTCTTCCTAATATAGTTTTGGCAGAGGGGGTGTCCTTATAATTTTTTATAAGGTTGGTAAGTTCCTGTAATTAGACTATAAGAAGGGGGTGTCTATGTAAATTTCCCTTGATAATTTTCATCAGTGAGGACTTGATTTACGAGGAGAATAGCAGGGTTATCAACTGAGTGAATGTAATATGGACTTCTTGGATCATCCAAGTTTGGAGTGGATGTAGCATCAATTGTAGTGGAATTATTTGCAGATTCAGTGGACATTTTGTATGTATATGAACAGAAATAACAAAGAAGAGGAAGAAAGATTTAAGAGAATGGATGCACAATGCGAAAGAATCTTGATAGAAACTACAGAATCTTGAAAACATGAAGAAGAAAAGGAAGAAAAATATTTTGCATAAACTGAAAATGAAAATGTACACTGCAGCTCTAGAAAGGGATTGATCTCTTATAGAGTAAAAGGCGTGGTCTACTTGAAGAAGCGTGAACACGCTAAAGCAATAAAAACACAAAATAAGGAAAAACAATGAAAATTACATAATAGCACCCTAAACTACAACCTAAAGATAAAAGAAGACAAAATAACATAATTAACTAACTAGATGATATCTGAAACTAATTTTTGATCGGTGTTATCATTTAATACTTGGCATCTTTCTTTCTTTCAAGGGAGGCTGAATTTAGCTAACAGTGGGTCAGAGTCGACAAGCCGGAGTTGACATGATTATTGGTGTTTGTTCCATTAAGGTTTGAGTTTTCTTTTTTAATAATTATGTTGAAGATAATATGAGATGGCAGCTATAGCAAGAATAACAACACATGAAATGATTATGTTGTATTAGTATTTTAGAGATGTTATAAACTTTCACACAATAATATGACATATATGTTTGCTTACTTTGTCTAGTAATATGACAATAATTTTATTTTTCACCAAAAAAGAAAAATATTGTTGAAGAATTATTTTTCACGAAACATTCTTTAGAGTTTTAGGACATTTGAACGCATTTTTGGAGGTATACTACTTAATAGAAAAGTTGTAGTTTAAGTCCCATGGGATTGAATTTCGACACTTTTAGTACCGTATTTTGTGAAATTGCACATTTGGTCTTAATTTTTTAAAATAATTTGTACTTTTCCTCCCATAAAACAATCTATGTTGACATTGGTTGTCCCATATGATTATATCAGTTTTGTATTTCTGGTCTCAAACGAGGCGATGAGACCAAAAATGCGTAACATCTAAAAGGATAAATATTATGTGCAATTTTATGAATTTCTGGGATAAAAAATGCTAAAGATCCAATCTTACCAAAACAAAAATGAAAGCTTACCATTGACTAATTGACCAACCTTACATATGATTATGGTCAAAATTCAATGTCTCGTATCATGTTACTATTAAAATTAATCTTTGTTTTTTTACTAAAAAAATTTTGCATGCCCATCAGAGCTGGCCCGAGATTTTTCGATGTCCTTGGCAAGATTTAAATTCGGGGCCCTGTATCTTAAGAAAAGATTATCTTAATATCGTTTTTGTCTGTTATCCGATCATGAATTTCCTACATATGGGGGGAATTTACTTTTCTTTTGGGCTGGTTGTGGGCGAGGAGGGATTCGAACTCCCGACAACGTGGTTCGTAGCCATGTGCTCTAATCCTTTGAACTATAAGCCTCACCCCGTCTTCACTAGATCTTATCCCGGGAGTACCCTAAGGCCAAAAGAAAATGTATTTGTCCTTTCCTCAGCCATTTCGGAAATACCAAAAGAAAAAAAAAATCCATGATTGAACTACCAAAATCGAATAGGCCAGAAATTTGAGTACTAACTGGTTGATTTTTTACGTAATCATCATTCATCACCATCATCATTATTAAAGTTATTTTATTTTTTCAGAATTTTCACAGTGCATGTTAATGTCTAAAATGGTTGTAGAGGTTGTATTTCAGATTTGGCCATTAGTATAATAAATATCGATCATCTCATGTTGCAATAATTCTTTTATGTAGCAAAATCGCAACTAATTTAGAGGTCAATAGAAATTCAATCAGTGTAAACGGTTGCACTGTTCTAGTCAGGGACACGTAGGTCTAGGATAACAAAACGGACCAGATCTCAAGGCTTAATATAAAGAAGTTTGGTTGGGTTCCACCTCAGTTTGATTTCAAAAGTTGTTTATGAGTTTCGGGAGAAACTTTTAAACTCGATTTTGATAATAGTTTCAATAGAATATTTAGATAGTGAAATATTATTAAATAATAATTGATGGGTTTTGAAAATTTGAGTTGTGATTTGGATTGAGATTTGGTTGTTGTAGTTTGGATGAGAAAAATAGGTGGTAGATGTCAAAATAATAACTTTATATGGGTGAAAAAGAGATGACAAATGTCACATCAATAGTTATATAGGTCTCGAGTAGGATTTTAAAGGTTTCGGTTTGGGCTGAAATTGGGTTTGAACTGAGACTTCTTGAAAGTCTTTATTTAATGAAGTTTGGCTCGGTTTGATCGAGACGAAACTCAGTCAAACTAGTTTCATATGGAGCCCAAGTTACTAAAAAATGTCACAAAGTTCTTTTATAAATTAATCACTTCGATTTAAGACTAAAATGACCATATTATTTATGAATATTATCCAAACACTCCAAGGTCCGTATTTTCTTACGAGGGAAAAATACTTTTGATACCAAACTTTGATCCAAAAAACACATTTGGTACCAAGTTTTTTGAAAAAACACATTTCATACCATGATTCACACAATCTTGACACATTTAGTTTTGCCGTCAATTTTCGGACGAAATTCAGCACGTGCCGTTAATTGTGGGTCTTTAGAACCCGTGCATGTTTTTCCTCCCATTGTCAACTTAACGGGTACATGAGCGACACGTGCTGAATTTCGTCCGAAAATTGACGACAAAAGTAAATGTGTCAAGATAATGTGAATCATGGTATGAAATGTGTTTTTCCGAAAAGCTTGGTATTAAATGTGTTTTTTCGACTAAAGTTTGATATCAAAAGTGTTTCTCCCTCATTTTCTTACCCTAGACGATTCAACCAGGCAAGGATTGATCCGGACGCATTTGGATTTTAAGGATCTACAATAGAATCTCACTTAGGTTTGTCATTTATACCATACCGATTACAGAACCATTTAAATTTGATTTGTTTAAATTGCCCTTTCCGACTTTAGCATAGAAGATTCTATGTTGGGACTCGCCCATAGCTAATGTGTGGTTACGAATATAAGTCGAATAATTGACATCTTGCGCCCAAACTTATAAAATCGTGGCACTTTATATCTTGAAATTAAAATTTCGGCACTTTGCACAATCAAATTACACATTTTTTGCAATACAATGGATATTTCGCACCCAAGTAGGTTGCGCGCATTCCGCCAAATAATATACAATTCGAGGGTACAAAGTGTCAAAATTTTAATTCTAGAGTTCAGAATGTCAAAAGAATGTATATTTTTAGGATGCAAAATGCCGATTCCTCAATATAAGTCAGTTCCTGTAATTGTTAGAGGTTTGAGCTAAGATTCAATCAAGTTCAATGTGATTATGCCAAATTGCATAAAAAACATATTGCAAACATCAAATTAATGTCATATGCCTGGAAAATTATACATATTGCTAAAGGAATATATAATTCAGGCAATCTTACTTTATGCAATTAATCAATATACTGTACAATATACATGTGTTTCTGCAACTGCAGTAAAATTTACAAATCTAATCCCTGGTATCCATAAATCATTATATATAACATAAGTGAATGTAAAAGTCTCATATACACTCAATAAAAAAGTTTATTCGAATCCTTGCTTCGAAAATGCCTAAGAAAAATTTCGTAAAATAGGCATCAAAAGTATATTTTAAAAATTAAAAAAGAAAAAAAAAAAAAAGGAAAATCTAAGAGAAGCTGTTTTTCTGCACATCATTATACCTCAATTATCAAACATACATAAATCCTCAATGGGGCAACAAATGGCTATAAATAACTTGATCAGCCAAGGTGAAAACCAAAATGTATTCAACAAATGAACTCGAAATCGGATTGCACATTATTATGTCTTAGTGTTTGGAACGATCATCATCTCCATATTCGGAATCCATAATGCTGCTATTTCGTGAATATAAATTCTCAGATCCATCATCTGATCTCATACTCATTTCCACATTATCATATTTCCTTGAACTAAAATCTCCACCACTCGATTTCAAAGAGCTTTTGTGCCTTACATTTGAGCTCAAACTTATATTATGCATGTCCGTTGTTCTAGAAGATTCTTCTTCATCACTACTTGAATCAGAACCATATTCATGAGATTCTTGGATTACATCATGGTTTGACTCGGAAGGCACATTTCGCTCAGGGTAACTACTATCGCACCTTAAGCTGAAACCAAGACTAAAATCCCGAGACCCAATGCTACTATTGCTGCTTGATCTTGATACACTACTACGCTTGCCCTTTGTACTTTTACGTTTCAAACTTGAGCTCCATTTCTTTGATTCTTTTTTGCTTCCGGACTCATTATCCGAGCTTTGTGAACTATCATCAGACTCGGAATCTGAATTATTCTTATGGTTAATAGGATGTTGTTTTTTATGGTTTTTGTCATCTTCACTGTCTGATGAAGTAACTTCTGTTTTAAATCGAATGGACATGTTGCCGTTGCCATTGTCAACAGAGCAACGATGACTTGTGGGGTCCACCCTTACAGATAACATAGGAACAAGACGAGCAGGAATTGGTGCCTCGGGTGGAGCTGAAGCGAGGAAACTGAGGGCGGCAACTACATCACTTATCAAGGGACGAACTGATGGTTCATCTTGTAGGCACATGGCTGCAACTCCCACTGCTTGATTTAGGCTTGTTACCGGAAACCCAGATTTCAGAAGTGGATCCGCCATATCTGGAAATCTCTTTGGATCGCTGAATATGGGTTGTGCCTATTCAATCACGGGCAGAAATAGTGTTGTCAAATGATTACTTTATGTAAGAGATTATGTTTGAGAAGAATAATTCCATTTTAGGAAAGAGAGTTTTGTTTTGGATATCCTAAAAAAATAGCGTAATTTACCCTCGGACCTTCTAAGGTTTACTATAATTACAGAAAATCCCCTTGTGGTTGCAAAAATTACAGGGACACCCCATATAGGGGATTTTTGTAAATATTTTCAGAAGTTGTAGGGCTCCTTGTAAGGATTGTTGAAGCTGCGTGTAAGGTGTATTTTGGTACATAGTCTAAACCAGAGTGGGCCTCGTCGTAAGACGACTAAACCTCAGGGGTCGGTCATAAATCACCCAAGAAAATAAGAGTAATAGTTTAAGGACAGAAGGAGTATTTTAGTCGACTTAAGAGAAAAAACACGAACGATCTACTTACCCAAGTCACTAAATTTTGCTCCTCAGTGGGCCGTGTAGTGTCCAAAGCTCTACGACCCGTGATAAGCTCGAGAAGGACCACACCGAAACTATATACATCTGACTTTAGAGTCAATTCCCCTTGTCTTTCATATTCAGGAGCACAATAACCATTAGATCCCATAACCCGTGGTGACACATGCATCGTGTTGCCACTCTGCACAAGCTTGGCAAGTCCATATTCCGAGAGTCTAGGATTGTTCGTTTCATCCAACAAAATGTTGGATGATTTCAAGTCACGGTATATGATAGGGGGGTTAGCCTTCTCATGTAAGTACTCAAGTCCTTGAGCAATACCCGAAGCTATTTTCATTCTCGCTGACCAATCTAGCGGTTTTTTATTTGCTGGAAGATCTGCAAATAAGAACCAAATATTTCAAAACTAAACGAGTATGAAATTTATATGTAAATAGAAAGAGAGCCAAATAAATATGAAGAGTACCAAATAGATGGCTTTTTAGACAACCCGATGGCATGTATTCGTATACCAAAAGTCTTTGATCTCCGTCCGCACAATATCCAATCATTTTGATCAAATTTGGATGGTGAAGGAGACTCAACATCATAACTTCAACCAAAAACTCCTTGCTCGCTTGTGTTCCACTTCTATCTAGTTGCCTCACAGCCACAATCTATCGGAAAAAAAAAATTAAAAAGAAAACCATTCAAATAGAGATTCTTATTTTGCTTTCTTTCTCAAAATAAGCAGACATCAAAGGAAATAATGCCCCATTTTGATCGATTTTGGACTCACGAGACAAACAAGTGTTATCTATAAGTGTTACCTGCCCACTTTGTGGAAGTGTAGCTCTAAATACTCTTCCAAATCCACCTTCACCGAGTAGACACTCTTGACGGAAATTCTTTGTTGCAGTGGCAAGTTCACGGAAAGTGAAAGTCTTTGCCGTATTTTCTCCATCTTCTGCTTCAAAAGCCTCTGGCTTATTATTAGCCTCAACCGATGGAGTCGGCTTATTATTATTTAACACTGAAACAATAAACACAACATTCTCAAGCTATCCAAAATTCTTGAAATATTTTTACAAATCTCAAACTTTATCTAAGAGTCAATTACACATACAAAAAAAATCAATTTATACTCATTGAGCATAGTATGAACAAAAAAGATTAATATTATGATCATAAAAATGGTTATTGGGATTGTATTATCTATTCATGTTCCTTACAAAGAATAACACTAGATACATTTTTCTTAAATTTTCCAATGGTATTTAGATCTTAAACTT